TCATGTGTTGGAGCTGTTCTACATTCTACGTGCCAAAAATATTCAGAGAGAAAAGCAAAAGATTGACTTTAGAGGACAATGTTTATGGAACTCACCTGTGATATGGAAGACAAGTTAAAGTACTTCCTCTGAAATGCACCTACAACCTTGGAAAGGGCCCTAACCACCACCTCATAAAGCATTTCTCTCTTTAGTCAGCAAATATTTCATTCTTTTTGGGACTGATCTAACAGGAATGCTGTAGCACTGCAGAATAGCCAGGAGTCTAATGCTCAAGGCACTCCCATGAAATGTGGGAGACTGATATTCAAATCTCTAGTACACATCAAACATAGGTGGGATTTCAGCCACTGGCTATTGCTGTGAGGGGCTCTCTCTCTTTGATCTTAATCAGAATTTCCACGTTAGACCTAAGAAATCTCTCTCAAATGAAATTTCATCAAAAACACCATATCCTGGGAAAAAGGTTCATTTCTAACAAATCAGCATTTTTTTGATGCAAAGCAATTATATATTGCTCCCTCTAGGATCATACCACCACTACAGTCATCTGTAGTTAGAAAATAAGACTGATTGTTCTGGTCACATCTTTCAAAATTTCAGAACTGCTATGTCAAAGCCTCTCATCATTTTTATTCACAGGCAAACAAAGAGCTCAGAATGGTCTAACAAATAAGAAATCGGCTTTCTGACTTCTCATTTCCCAATCATCTTCTCAACTTAAAAACCTAATCATTGATCTGAAACTAACTGCCTAAATGGATATATGAGAAGTTCTCTTTGTACCAAGAGGAAAGGATACTTTAGCATTTCAACAGACAGGTTCCAAGTACTTAGCCAGGTGACTTCCATCAGTTTGATGGTTAAGCTACCTTTAACACTATAGCACTGTAAGATAATGAAGTCAGACTTTCAGAGTTGCGAGCCAGGTGCTTCAAACCTGGTTGCACACTGGGCTGCCACTCCCCTCTGCTAGGTAATAAGGAGATGTGAAGGGGGAAAGGATTGTGATTGCCAGTGTCAGAGGGACAGGAGGGAGGGAGGGAGGTGTGCAAAAGCAGAGTAGGAAGGACTGCGGAAGGGATCAGCAACACAAGAGAGCACGGAAGGGCACATATCAGACCAACCTACTTGCCACTGATCCTCCATGTTGCAGGCCAAATGCAATCACTTTGGGAGCCAGATCTGGCCCATGCATAGAATAAAGAAAATACTTTCCCACCCCAGGACAGAGTTATATAAATACGGGGAGAAAACTTAATGGGCTGGCACACGTACCAGTCAATAGCCTGGGTCCAACTGTTCTTGGATTGAGGCCCAGAGTCTATAAAGTGTTGAAAAATGGCACCCTCTCTGAGGCTATTGCAAAATGCATGCTGTGGTTATCTTTTTTACTCTGTCTGCTGCCTGTTCCTTTACAGTCACAAGCATTTACCGTTTGATTTTTCTTGTTTAATTTAAATAATTTTAATAAATTGTAGCAAAGCTATGCTTTAATATACTTTTCCATTATTTAAAACATATTTAAATACTTTTATTGTTTAAAAGAGAAAAATCACAACAATTTAAATTATTAATTTTTCTATCCATTCTGAACCTGTTGTTTATGCCATCAAATTAAGAAGCTGACCGAGGTCAAAGTGTTGAGGACACCAACTGCTATTAGAAGGAAATTTGGCCGGCATGGAAAGAAGAGCTAAAATTTGGAGAGACAGAAATACAATTAAGTGGTAGATGGAGGAGAGGAAAGGACAATGAATTCATTTCGTTAGGTGAGAGAGTTGATGAGCAGAGGTCTCTGACGGTGAGTGGAACTGTGTCTATGTTGGAAATGTCTCATGCCTGAGTGAGTAAAAAAAAGGAGGGACTGATTTCAGACATGTGTAACAGAGAGTGGAGCTTCAGAATAAGTGAATGACAGGATAGTAGGATTAGAATTGTATAAAAGAAAATGTGTGAAAAACACAACCTATGTGTTTCCATTTGTGCAAATGGACTGAATTGTGTGAGAGAAAGAAATGCTTTGTACATGAAATGAGAATGAACAGCTTGATGCTCCTATGGAGTTGCTCAAGAGGAAGAGATTCCTCAGGTCTGTGATTTTCCAACACCCTGGGGTACTGCGAGATCTTGTTAAGGACATCACAGGGTGCCATACAACTGTTAGGAATATGAACACCTACACATAGTTCACAAGGTAAACCCTGAGATCCCAAAAAGGAATCCATAGTGTCAAAAATGTTCTGACCTGTTGTGGTCTTAGCAATAGAAGAATTGCTCTATTACTTTCCCATAGTCAAAAAAAATGAGTAAAACCTAAGAGCTAGCATTTCTCAAAGGGTTCCTTCAGTCTAATGAGGGGGATTGAGTCTAAGGGGAAGTGCCTTGAGTCTAAAAAGTTGAGAACCACTGTACTAGGTGTTACAAACCACAGAGAATGTGCACAAAAATGAAGGCATACCATGTAACCAATGTTACAAAATTGGAGATGTTGACCATTTTCCAATTTGTACTTCAGTTCATTTGGGGCTTCCAACATTGTTCTCTATGCACCTTCTTCAGGAGCGAGGAAGACAAAAAGAATGAAAAAGCATCTCTCTACATTTTCATTGAATTCACTGAGATTGACACATTTTTCTTCAGTCTAATTAAGTACAAACTGTTTTTCACTTAAAAGCAGTCACTTTAATTATAACAATATTTCTTCTGTCACAGTCCTACCATGACTGATTTGGAGAAAGAGTAACACTTTTATCAACCACTAACAAGAAACAGTCAGTCAGCTCCAGGACACTAGAACCACTGTTCCCTTTCAGAGCTTTGTTTTAAATCTTTCCTTGTTTTTCCTCAATAAACCATGACAATGCTCTTGCATGCTCCCCTCCCCAAACCACAGCTGTCAATACCAAGTTCTTCAGCCTCTGAATATGCGAGCAGGCCAGAGTTAGTCTTCCCATGAAAATCAAGTCAATGACCTGCCTTCCCTGTTCCTTGTGAACTAAAAGAAAGTCATAATTTTTCTTCCCCTCAGTTCTCACATGTTGTAAATGTTCACTCAAGTTGTTAGCCAATACAAAATGCATTAATTCCTCCGAAGTGAGTTCACCATGAATGATTTAATTGAGGCCGATTAGGCATAGTTTTCCTTTTCTCCTTAAAAAAAGGGGGGGAATGTTAAGATATTTTTCATTCAAAGTCTATGTTACCCTTATTATCTAATCAAGTGGAAAAGGTCTTTGTCTGCACTGGCCCATCCAAAAAAAAAAAGTGTAGCAATAAAAACTTTAAAGATTTTCTCAATCTTTTGTTACCCTAAAAGACCCCAATTTAGTCAATTGCTGTCACATCAAGGAAAAGAAAGGGATAGAAAGAGAAATAAAAAAGGAAAAAACAGAAAGGAAAAGAAAAAACACAACTCTGCTGTACTTGTTTAAAAAAGCCACTTTTTGGAACCAATGAAGAGTCTGATACACAAAATTACACAGTTACTTTCCAAAGATTTGCATTTAAAAGATTGAATACAGGTCGCTTTCCTGTGACCATAGAAACATTAGAAAAGGTGGAAAATTCAGTCCACTGAACTTCAAATGACTTTATTAAAGTGTCACTAATCAGAACCCAAAGACACAAGGTTTTAGTGTTTGGGCTAACAAAGTGAATAGCTCTCGAAAATCTAATGACCTCCTAAGAGCATTACTTTTAAAAAGCCTTGTCGACAGCAAGTTAAATAAGAAAACCTTCATTGCTCCCTAGGAAAGATTAATCCCATGCAGATCACAAGAACTCAACTGAACTATAATGCTGAATACAATAAGATGAGGCTCACAAAAGGGAGAAATCCTTTTTAAACTTGGAAGTAACAAGGACAAGCAACCACCGTTTTGTTGGTGATGGTTTATAATATGTAAAGCATAAATACAATTACTGTTAATTTAAATTAAACATCTGAAACATTTCATTTACATTAACTTCAAGTATTTTTTATACATTAAATGTTCACGTTTATCCTAAATCATAAAAATGAGAGGAAGAGCTTTATTTGTACAGAATTAATTGAGAACCTTGCCATGATTCTGCAAGAAATCCAGGATGCACAGATAGGGTCGGTGATCAGTGAAAGTGAATTATTATAATATTTATCATTAATAAAATTGTTTTTGTAAATAATTCACTGTGTACTTCCATGTTTCTCTAGAAACACCACTCCACCATCTACTCTGTCACTCAGAGCAGCAATTTGGACATGGTCTTTAAATCAACCTCCTTCCTGAAATCATACAGGTTTAAATCTTGTTTCTTTTTCCTAACACTACATCTCCAAGATCTCACCTTTCCTCTTTGTATGGCCCAGTCTGTTACTACCTCACTTCTGAACTATTACATTTTCCTCTTGGCTTACATTGTTGCTTCACCTTGACTTTATTCAAGTGTCTTAGTGGATATATTAGTGGAGGCATGACTGTAGAATAGGTAAGCACACCTGTACTAGCTTTATTCATGTTTACAGAGGCAACTAGCTTCATTCACGTTTACGGAGGCAGTGAAGACGAGGTCGTATAGGCTTTGCTAGTCATTGGCAAACAAAGCATGGATCTTGCAGATGTGTTCCGCCACAGCTGACTGGTTCATTGGATAAAACACATGTTGCCTGATGTCGCATATTGGGCAGGGGCCTGATACTGCAAGACAACAGGCAACATATTCCCCACTTACAGAGACATGCCCAGAAAAATGGAAAGCCATCATTTCCCATTAGCAGAGATGCATCCCAGGGAACCTCCTTGGTGTGTCTCTAAGTGGGGTAAGCCAGAATCTCATGCTTATAAATATGCTTCCCAAAGACTGTCCAGGGCACATCTTTGTAAGAGGACAAAGGTGGAAAAGTGCTTCTGGGGCTTGAGGAGCTTGATCCTGCATGGGAATTCCTAGGGAGTGCAGGATCAGGCCCTTCAAGCTCAAGGAATGCCTGCAGGGAGTGTTAATAACTATAATTGCTTTGATTGCTTATATTGTTATTTTTCTTTTTATATAATGAAATATTTAACCATTAAGATAAAGTTAATCTTGTTATGATTTAGTTTTTATACTAATTTGGTCATTCATTATTAGTGTTCTGGAATTAACCATCTATTTTAAACTTCTTATTGCTGAGCATAAATATATTGGACATATTGGTCTCATGACTTTAGAACTTAAATTTAGCATAGGGAAAATGCTCGTGTAAGGGTTTGCAGTATGTCTGGCATATGTAGAAAGCGGTAACGAAAGAGTGAATGATGTATGTATGTGACAACATGAAGGAAGACAGTCCTCTTGCAGCAGGTGAAAATAGTCTTTTGTGGTTTAATGGTTAAAGACTGCAGCGACATCGAGTCACTAGTTAAGGATTACCAAATAATAGATCATGCTTCTCCCCAATGGCTGAAGACTGCAAGCAACGACCCCCCTGAAGATTACAGACCACAAAGCCAGAAGATCATGTCCTACCAATCCCAGCCTGCCAACAGGACAAGGAGGATGACCCTCGCATCTGACTCAGTGGAATCCACAGGCTTGTATGGACAGCTATCACTATAAAGAATGAACACAAAGACAAGGCTTTGCGTCATTTCCACCTGCAAGAAGGAGTTTGGGTGCTTCCAACAAGACCTGACTCCATCTCTCCTGGTCAGTCTGGCCGGCCACCAAACTGACCTGAGCAACTTTAGAACTTAGTAACACCTTAACCTTTGCAGGACTGTCTAACTATCTGTGTGTGTCTGCTTGTTTCTCTTGTATGAATGAATGAGTATGCATAGTACCGAGTGAAACAGGCAACCTTATTGCTCTTTATTCTTTTTATGTTGCAGGTTTTATGTCTTATGTTCCAATAAATGTGGCGTTGTGCCTTAACCCCGATAAGATTCCTGCTCGTTTTTAATTCACACTGTATACCCTGTGTGCACAACAGGAGATAATGAGCCGCTCTGGGCTATATTCTCCTGCCAAAAGTAACAGCTGTCTGCCATAATAAAGCGGCACAAATCGATACTACGTATGTCACGGCCCCATATTTCAGGCACTTGTGGTGTGACAAGGGGCATGGATGCCTGAAGAACCTTACAGTGGCACAAAGGTAATGTCTGTTTCAACCCTTGCATCCCCAGCAGGCTTGTATCCTGGCTGTTCTCACATTTGCTAGTATGTACCCATGCCATCACATCTTTGTTACTACCATTACTAGTTCTAACTAGTTGAAAGTTAGTACAGATATACGTATCCATGCTGCACCTTACAGCTCATTCACATACCTCAAGACTCATTTTGACCTGTTGTTACACAATATGTCACCTCATATTAGAGTGGACATGGGCCCTGTTTTATACAAAACCATCCTGTTTTTAAACCCTCTGTCCCCTGTCCATTTCTAAATGAGGAACACACTGCAAAAAATCCTATTTTTCAGTTCATTGGTGGAAATACATGTGAATCATGTGTCCTCACGATTCTGTTGCCTGTCCCTACAGGTTGAGCAATGCAGAGCCAGGAGGTGCAGAGTTCCAAGCCAGGGAGGGAGGGAGGAAGGGTGGAATATGGCTTTTTAATGGTGGCCTTGTCCCTTGCTGATGATTGGCCAGGGAACCCAGTCAACCGCACCCCTCACTGCTGATCAGCCAAGAAGGCATCAGCCACACCCCTGATCACTGACTGGCCAAGGGAGCCAGTGGTCCCCCATCCCCTCTCAGCAAGGGGATGTCCTATAGTCTGGGGATGCGCCATGGCCACCTTACCTCATATGTGATTGAAATGTAGACTCCAGCCCATACTCTAGCAACAATGGCCACTTCAGTTGGAACTTGCCAGAAAATTTCACATTACTCTCTTTTCCATGTACTTCTGTACACAGAAGTAGCATACTATAAATACCTACAAACCTATATGCACAGCCAGAAGGTGGCCTTATATATAGGAAGTGTCTTTAGGAATATAGGACCTCCATTCTCTTTCATTTAATTTCTCCTTAAAACACACCTGTGCAATGACGGTTTGATTGCTAGTATGCTGGAATGATGCTTATCTTATTCCTGTAAGCACCGCACTGTTACTTTTTCCTGCCCTGTGTGTTTGCTATATCCAATTCTTGTCTTTCATGTTAAACTTAAATTATTACCTTATAAGCAGGGATCCTGGTTTTCTCTGTTTAAAAATTGCAATTTCTCAGATTAAACCCCCAGATCCGTGTTTTTCCACGATTAAAATGAAACACCTATATATATAGGTATCAGTCGAACACGCTGTTTTATTGATATATTTACAATTTTAAAGCAATGTGGTAGCCTACCAGTGCCTCAATCATCACTGTAATAAAATAAATTCTAAATACCTATACATTTTGGCTTTTGATTTTCAGTTTATCATGGAAAAACAGAGTTTGCCTTGCCCCCTTCACTCACCAGGACACGGGTCCACTTGCAGCCATCCCCACGCTGCTTTGTGGCACTGAGTAGCCCTGATATGCCAGTGCCCTGCCCATGCCATTGCTCCTCCCTCCCCACCAACAGCTCCCTAGTCCTGATAGTGCACCTCACTCCCCATCCACAGCCCCCTCCACAGCCCTGCAGGTGCCCCTCACTCCCTACCAACAGCCCCCTGTACCCCAGCCTTGCTGGAGAGGGGCCCCAGCTGCCAAAGCTATGGGGGCAGGGACCAGGCTCTGCAGTCCCTTGCCCTCCCCCAGCAGCACCTGAGCCTCGGCTGCCACACGACAGACAGCACCTACTGTGGCCAGAGCAGAGAACAGAGCCTCCTCCTGGGCTGCACAACTGGATCAGAGCCCATGAGGAGGGGGTGGATGCAGGGTGGCCACTGTGGACTTGGGGCTCACCACCCTGCTGCCAACCTCCCAGGGGCTTCTTCAACCTAGGTACCTGGTGCAGAAGGGCAGACCAGGGCAAGGAAGCTCAGTGCAACTGTCAGCAGCCAGCCCTCATCTGTCCCATGCACAAATCTGAGGGGCATGTGACTCCCATGCCTTCCCCCAGGAATACACACAGTGGTAGGGAACCAGTCCCATTGCTGCCCCCCACACCAGCCACCCATGCTGCTCCCCAGTCAGGCCCTGCAGCCATGCATTCCAGCCCCGGTCCCCAGGCACACTGGCCTGACTGGGCCCCAGCCCTGCCCAATTCCCTTCCTCCCTTACTATGGAAACATCAGTCCTCTACCTCCCTCCCCTTCAGACTTACCTGCATAGAGCTGAGGGAGCTCCTTTCATGCTGCCTGGCTTGCATGTGCGTGTGTTCTCACACACATGCATGTGGTGCCCCCTGCCTGATCGCCTTCCTCCCACTCCCCCAACCAAGCCATTGCAGGCTGGAAGTCTGTCAGCCAGCAAGGGGGAAACCCACTGTCTCCTTTGTGTTTCTCCTTAAAAAGGAGAAAATCTGTGTTCTACCACATTTTTCCATGGTGAACAGAAAACCCAGATACATGCTTATAAGTTTCTTTGGACAGAGCCCACCCCTTTGTTTAGTGCTCAGTTCAAATTCGGCTCTACCTCTAGGCACTTATGCAGATAAATTAATATATAATAATAAATTGGTTCTTGAAGGGGCAGAAAAAACCGCTCTTGCATTCATTAGTGTGGAACAGAAATTCTTCTCCGATGAGTAAGAATGATTCTATAAATCAGTTTCTGCAGAAATGTAGTTTTTGTTTTACCAAATATTTAATTGAAAATACTTATTCTTAGAAAATAGTATGGAATCAATTATAAACTTCTGCAGGGTTATTTTCTTAAATCTGCAGATAACTGGGGCTGGTGACACCATTTCTTAACAAAATGTCAAAGCAGCAGCATGCTAAATTGACATGGCTCCACTCAGTTTCACTGCTGCTGTTCACACAAAAATGTGTGAAATAAATACAAGTTTTTTAGTGGAATTTATGTTATAATACATTGCCAAAATTACATATCTAGCCCCTATCAAGATAGCAAAATTTGAAGCTCTAGTAGGTGTGCTAGACAAAATAACCTGAAAGCTGATGCTACTCTCACTTTATACATAAATTCTATGTTCATCTTAATTCATGCCAGATGAGTTTTTTCTCTCTAGTTAAAAGTATATGCACTGAAATTTAAAAATGCATCTATTTAAAAATCCTTTAACATGAAAATGAAATAACTTATGAAGCCTGCTAAGAGAAAAACACTATTATTTTTCTTTACTCAAGGTTTTTATCATATTTTTCTTTGAGAAAAAGACAGACAGACATAGGGAGTACAATATGTCAATAAACTGTTCTAATAGAAGCAGAATTCAAAGCATCACATACATATCTTACCACTTTTTCTCCCATCATCCTCACAACATACACACCTTTATAGACACCATGAAGGGCTTTATGCATAGCATAAAGAGAATGGTTAAAACACAGAGCTAGATGTCCAGAAGCACAAGTTTGAAATTTTCTCCCAAGGCCATTCCAATTAATCTAGCTATATGTGGGTCCTTCAGACTGAGAAGTGAAAGGTGGCCAGACATAATGCTAGCCACATTGCTCCCATTAACTATAGAAACTGGCATGCTATAACCCTGTTAGCTTAAATAGACCTTTGAACTTATCATGTATGCCTTAGCTTTCAAAAACTAGTAGTGGGTACAAGCCATCTGCCCTTTTATTTTTCAAGCACTGTCATAACCTCATTTGGGGTCAAGAGTCAGATGCTAATTATTTATAAAATACCCTAATGCATAACATTATGGGTGTATTCGCACACGCGCGTGTGTGTATCTATGTATGTATACTATATACGTGTGTGTGTGCGTGTAAAACTCTTCTGAGTTACTCAACTAAAAATATCTGAGTTAAAGGGACCACTCAAAGACTAAAATATGTGCATCTATGTGTGTATGCATGCACATATACAGCACACACACATATACATACACACACACATCTCCGTGTGTGTGTTGCACATGACACAAACGTGATATGGGTTTACTGTAATAATTCATAGTTTCATAGTTTCTAGGGTCGGAAGGGACCTGAGCAGATCATCTAGTCCGCCCCCCTGCCATGGCAGGAAGAGGTGGTCATCCAACCTCCTCTTAAAACCCCCCAGGTTGGGAGCCTGCACCACCTCACTTGGAAGCTGGTTCCAGACTCTAGCTGCCCTGACCGTGAAGTAGCGCCTCCTGAT